ATTTGAATTATTCTTTCACTTTTAATTAGATGGAATGAATATATTTGAACAACACTGCTGACTTTTTTTATTGATTCTACTTTTTTGAAATGTATGAACTGTTGATCAACTGTTCTAATTTATTCTTATGTTTCCTACAATTTACCTGAAAACAATACTGCTATGAAATTTTACAAATAATTTTTCACATTGAAAAATTATATTAGTAGATATAGAAATTACAAGTTTTTACTAAAGGAAAAGAAAGCTAGTCACAACTGAAAAGTGACTATGATTGATTAACAAACTATAGTTGTGAGTTACCTAAACAGAAATGATGTGCCATACATAGTATATATAAAAGGCTAAGTGTCCATTTGACCAGTAGTTGTGATGCACGTTGACCATCAGGAGACAGACGCTCAATGCAGAAGCTGTCATGACACCCACTAGCCATTTAAAAATAAACAGTATCACACACCGTGAGCTGACAAACCAAGGCTTCCCCCAAGTGAGACACAGGCCCTGCCACCATCCTGCAGTGAGTGACACCCCACCAAATCGCAGCTAAAGCTGCCAAGATCCCCTGATGCAAAATATGGCCCTCAGACCAGCCCAGCCAGGAAAAGATCGCTGTGGGTGCCAGGTAATCACATCACATAGCAAGACCGACTTCTCCCTAGCGACTAGCCTCCTTGTAGTTTCTTCAGCCCAGGAATAGGACTTGCTTTATAGCCAGGTGCAAATATTTTACACTAACCAAATGTTTGTGAAACATTTTCACGTGCCTCATTTCATTTGATCCTCACACAAGTCCTGGAGTAGGTAGATAGGAGACTTAGTAGAATCCTATTTTCTTTTCATTAGCCAGAAAATGGAGATTTAGGAAGTTTAGAAACTTGACCCAACTGAACAGAAGAAAAAAATGGTGGAACCTGAAAATGACTTCAGATTTTCTCACTGCACAGAATATAGTCAAACACTGCTACAGCTAAATATTTTACCCTTTGTCCTCTCTGTGTGATCTACAATAATAGTCTGCTTCGTGTTGATATTTACTGCTGTGTTTCTGGCAATTACCTGAAAGAGAAGTTGGGGTGCTTCACTGGGCTGGAAAAAGTTTAGCTACATCAGAAAGTAGGTCTAATTAGGCATGTTTATTCTATATCTATAAAAGGCTAAGTTAACACGCACATGAGCAATACATATAAAGTTCTCGATGGCACCAATTGCATGGATGTGTTTTGATCTGTCATGGTTGAACATGAATTTGTTTGACACTTCTATTATACAGGGCAAATAATGATATTAAAATATTTCTTCTAATTAAGTTCCTTTCAATGTGAATGAATCTGTGCACCAGGACACTAGTTGATGTTAGAAAAAAAATACAGGTTATTTTATTGTACATATTTTTTAGTATATAAATTATAGTAGAGATACTTATCAATAATTCAATCAAACTAGAGAATTCTTAGTAATATGCTTTTCAAATGTAGTATTTTTAACACCTTTGTGATTTTTTTCTTAAAAAAATCACTAAGAACTTTTAAAAACTAACTTCGGTATAGCTGTTCTATGGAACATTACAAATTAAACATAAATATATCTTAAATTTATAAAATAAGAAAAATGTAATAAAGGAGAATGATAATGCAACCATTAGGATTAAACCATGTTTTCTAAAGCGTTCATAGGAAATAATTTTCTTTAATTGAAAGGAAGCCAGTAATCCTTCTCCAGTTCAACACATTTTAAGAAAAAGATACAAATGGTGTGCTTAGAACAAAACAAAAAAGCTGAAATTTCAAGGGAAAAAAAATTCAAATAACTAGGGAATTAAAAACAACAACAAAACATCTGATATCCTATTTAATATTCCTTAGAAGGAACTATTCTAAATTAATTTCAGATAGTACTTGGAAGAACTGGTTATAGTTGGAATTGAATTCAATTTATTACTCAGTTAACTGAGATAAATTACATAGCTTGAATCAAAAGCCCAGGGACAGCATGTTCTGCCAACTAGAAATAAAACACTTTTTTGTTGTTGTTAATCCTCACCAGAGAATATTTTCTTCCATTGATTTTTAGAAAAAGAAACACCCATGTGAAAGAGACACATTGATTGGTTGCCTCTGGCACCCACCCTGGGGCAGGACTGAACCAGGTTTGTATCCTGGACTAGGAATCAAACCCAATACCCTTTGGTGCATGGGCTAACACTCTACCCACTGACCTACATTGTCCAGGGCAAAACTTAAGACTCTTAAAAAAAGAAATTAGAACAAAACTTTCCTAGCCCTGGCCAGTTTGGCTCAGCGGATAGAGAGTTGGCCTGTGGACTGAAGGATCCCCGATTTGATTCTGGTCAAGGGCACATGCCTGGGTTGTGGGCTTGATCTTCAGTGGAGGGTATACAGGAGGCAGCCAATAGATGATTCTTATCATTGATGTTTCTAACTCTCTCTTCCTTTCCTCTCTGAAATCAAATATATATATATATATATATATATATATATATATATATATATATGGACCAACTCTCCTAAACCTTTAAGATAATTTTCACTGTGATTTTAGCCTAGTTGTCAGTTTCCAGATGAGTTGAGATTGACAGATTTCCAGCCTTTCTAGACTTATTTTTTCCTAATTCTCTCATGCCTTCTTATGAAATTAAATATTGAGGAATAGTTGAGTTTGTGTGTGTGTGGTTTGTGTGTATGTGTGTAAAGTTAAGATTTGGAGCATTGTGCCCTAACTGGTTTGGCTCAGTGGATAGAGTATTGGCCCATGGACTGAAAGATTCCAGGTTCGATTTGGATTGAGGACATGTACCTTGGTTTCGGGCACGTCCCCAGTAGGAGGTGTGCAGGAGGCGACTGATCAATGTTTCTCTCTCATCGATGTTTCTGACTCACTGTCCCTCTCTCTTCCTCTCAATAAAATATATATATATATATTTTAAAAAGATTTGAATAATTGCAAACAGATTTAACACAATAAGCTTAGGTCTAAGATTATTTTTGTCCCTCTCCCATATTGGGAGCCCTTTTACCCCATCGAGAACAGCCTAAATACTTATAGGGACCTTACTTCTCTTAGGCAATATGTATTCACTATGCCAATTTCAGGTTTATAATATGCTTTTCTTGGACCCAACCTTAGAACACCAAAGGCAAAGTGGTCAACACAATAAAGTTAGTGAAAGTGTCTTCAGCACTGTCACAGGTGCTGAACTAGTGAACTGATTTCCAGCAAATATGTACTTTATCAGCATTTTCTTTCTCTACTAGTTCACACAGATGCCCATCCATTATTTATTTAAGCATTCACTACTTGAGTGCCTATTATGTGTTAGGCACTGAGTATCAAGGAGTATGATAAAGGCTTTATACTCTCTGAGTTTATGATCTAGTTCAATTTGTTCTCCCTCTCTCTAACTCCTAAATACCATTATTGGTGCTATGGTCACCACAACATCGAGGCTGCAGGTTCCTTTGGAAACGTCTGGTCTAGACATTTTCCTATCACTTGCAGATGATTTAAGCACAGAAGAATTCCATGAACTCATTGAAGAAGTATGCCATGGTGGAAAGAGTGGCTAGTGGTTTTAGAAACCAGGTGGCTGTGATGATCTGTAACCTGACATTCTCACTGATTGTGAGGCTGTGGGATTATTCAGCTCCCTTAGTCTTGTTGTGGTCTTGCTTTACTCGTGTGTAAAAGAGGTAATAACCCTTTTGCAAAGTTGTGTAGCATAGTGGCTAGAAGTTAATATATATATATATATATATATATATATATATATATATATATATATATTTTTTTTTTTTTTTTTTTTTTACAGAATCTGGTTGATGTATCATTGAAAATAGCTATTATACTTTAAAACATATGTTCATGTGAGCATTAAAGAGAAAGGACCCCAGCAAAAACTGTTTCCTATGGTTATGTGTTAATGATTACAGTAACTGTTAATGATTACAGTAATTTAGTTTCCCAATCAATCATACAAAGACTCGGTGACTTTCATTAGGGACCTTCTTTCTTTGAATCTTTTTCTTCATCGGTAGAATAAAAAGATCATGCCAAAGGTCTCCCGACTTTTCAAGTATAAAGCAACTAATTATAAATACTACTTGTGGGCGATCTTTTAAATTTTACCTGAGCGTCCATTAGGCCAGCTTTTGAAAACTTGAATAATGTTTACACACAACTGAAGTCAGATTTGTATGCCCGAAAAAGGTCATTTCCTGAAATCAAAGAGGGGGCTGACAGGTCCGAGTAAACTTTAACTTCAATCCTTCCTTGGGAGGCCGTCTAGCACGTGACTATTGGACCCCGCACCTGCTGGGGCCAGGAGGGCCTCCGACTCATTCCACACCATTCCCGCCATTTCTCTGGACACCCAGTCCTCTCACACACAGGCTGGATCTGCTTGCTCAGCTAGAAAGCCATGGTCCTTCACTCCGCCCCCCACCCCAGCGTCCCGCCTCACGTGACGCACTGCTGACGAGCGCGAGGACCCGCCCCCTTCTGCTGACGTACTGCCATCTGCGGCTGCGGATTGGTAGGCCGGGGGGGGGAGCGGGGCGGGCCGCTCCGCAGGAAGGGACGCAACCGGAAGCGCTTTTAACCTAGAAACTGTGGGCGCGGGTTTGGAAAGTGGGCCTTGAGGTTGGGTGTTCTGAGCCGGCGCGAGCCTGGGTTCCAGTTCTCTGGATCCACAGGGGATCCGCTCCTTATGCCGCTTTGTCCCCTGCAATGAGCGTGGCAGCCCCCTCCCCCCCACCCTCCAGAGATCTGAGCGCCCCTCAGGGAGGCCCGGGACGGGCGTGGCGGAGGCCAGGAGGCCCAGGAGGACGGGTGCGCTGGGCGAAGCTGGGAGTTCCCTTCGCCCTCGGCGGGGCGGCGCGCCTTTCCTGGGCGCCTGTGCGTGGTCCTTGTCCAGAGGCTGCTCACTGTCACTCGGGAAGAGAAAACCATCGAGTTCAGCACTCCTCTGAGCAATCGGGAAAATGTCTTTTTTCCCTAAAGTAGCCTTGAGGCCTGAGGTTGAAAACTGTCTTAAAGAGGGCTTTCTGAATAAGGAGGTAGGTCAGACATACATGCTCACTGGGATCAGCAAACATTTCAGGGCGGTATTGACTGACACCCCTTAGAGAAAAAAGAAGCCTAAGAGGAAACAATGTTTTCACAGCCTTTGTTTCTATCATACCTACCTGTCCTTCCGAATGCGAGAGTGCCAGTATCTTTCCTCGGGGATTTAATTCATACCTTCCTAGGGAAGAGGTGAAGGAGCCGTGCTTTAAACCCCTCGGGAACGGGAGGGAAAGGAGTGGGGAGGGCGGATCCGTTCCCGGCAGAGGCTCTGAAGAGGAGCGAGCAAAGCCCACCCGGGGAACGCGTCCTGTTTGGAGATGCACGCGCGGTCCTAGAGCTCTGGCCCTGGCCCTCAGGGGAAGAGGTTCTGGAACTCCTCAATGGCACTGGTTGTGTTAGGTGATTTGCAGACTTTTACGTCTTTCTCCTTGCAATTTTTTTTTTTTTATAGAAATTTCCTCTTCTGAGGGTTCTCAGATCAGAGAACTGAGGGTCCAAAGAGCTGATGTAACTGATCCAAACTGACAGCTTTCAAATAACAGTCCTGAAATGCGAAGCGAAAGTTACAAATCCGAAGTACAGGTTTATAATCCCTCTAGGCAATTTAGTATTTTCCAAATCTTCGGTTTTCCATTCCAAATAAAGTCACTTAAGTGTTACTCGTTTTTGAAAATGTTACTGAAGCTATGACCTTTACGTATGATTTCTACACTTTAATTCCAAAGGTTATGTTAAGGGGCTGGACAGCGTGAAAAGAAAAAAAATATTTCTTGATTTCAAAGGACTTAAACTATAAGACACATATTAAGAAATGGAGGCATTCGGCATTTCTTTTTTCTCAGCAATTTTTAAAATGGTCAACATTGGAGATGCAAATACCTTTTTTTTTTTTTTTTTTACATCACCTCTGTCTCAAACCCACTATGATTTTACAAAAACAGAATGTTTCTTTGTAAAAAAAAAAAAAAAAAAAAAAAATAAAAGGTAAAGGAATATTTAATTGAAAAAAAAATACAAAAAAACCCCCTAAACCTTGAGGAAGTACTAATACTTTTAGGCTGGCAAATTTGTAAGCTGGCAAATGGTTTATGAAAAATCTGTGAGGCAGGATAAATTCAAAGATGGGGAAATATGTGTCTTGAAAAGCTTCAGTTAGTTACAAGAGAACTTGGTTGTTTGAGTCTATAGTTTCATTTTTGACTTGTAGCTTTGCTACCCAACTTCTTAATTATCAGTGTTACTCAAAATCTGGTGTTTTAATAGATTAATAGCCAATTTGCTCTCGGATATGAAGTTAGCAATAGAATAGCTTTACAGAAGTGATGTAACAGTTAATGGATTGTAAGTAAGTAAAAATCCTGAATTTGTATGATGAACATAGCAGATATGAACATGTTCAAATGTTAGTAATGCTTTGAAATTGAGGCAAGATTTTTCTAAGCTTTTATGTCAGGCCTTTACTTAGGTGTTTTTTTTTTTTGTTTTTTTTTGTTTTTTAAATCACCATTAAACCTGAGAACCCTGTGAAATAGTATTGGCATTCTTTTGAGTGTTATTAGCCTATAAATAATACAGCAAAATGAAATGGAACTGAATAATTGCTAAACATGTTAAAAAGTTAGAACAAATGTATATGCATATTATGCTTGATATTTTTAATTTGTATAGTGAAACTGAAACAATAACTTGTTCTTTGTTTTTTCAGGTTGTATTGGCTTTCGGTAAACAAGAAGCAGAAAGGAAGTTTGAAACTCTGTTAAATCACCTGTCACACCCTCCATCATTCACAACTGTCCGAGTAAATACACATCTAGCCTCATTGCAACATGTGAAAAGTCTGTTATTTGATGAACTTCACAAGGTTTGTGCAAATTTTTTATGTCATATGTTCATAATTACATTTCTATAATCTATGTCATGTTGCTTCTCACTAAAATGCTATGAATGATACAATACTGTTTTACAAATAAGAAAATTGAGGATCATGAATGTTAAATTAGCTAAGGTTACAAAGTGAGTGGTGGTACTAGAACCCCTGAGCCACACTGGCCAGGTCCAATCCTATAAATGTCAAGTTTTGAGTAGATGACTATGTTATAAGGAGAACCAGCTGTGATATCTGAGTGTAAGACTTGAAGAAAAAGTAATGCACGTTTTAATTGTTGATAGTGTTCATTTCATTGAGAGTAATAACATTAGGCACAGTGTAAGCACTTCCTCTAAGCAACTAAATTATACTTTTATATAAGCATACATATATGCTTTCAGCCAGTTGAAAGGAAACTCTTCTGAGGCCCCCTCAGATTTCCATAACTGAGGCAGATCCACATTCTTTTCTTTTCTTGCAGATTATTCCTGGAGCTAGATATTCTAGCCTCCCATTCTGATGGGCATACAAGATATCCTGGGCTAGTATCCAGGATAAGGCAGACAGAATCACTCTGGGTGGCTTTTGAGTCCTTTCCTTAAAGGTTAAGACAGAGAAGGTTGGGTCCTAAGCAATATGTAGGAAACTGGGAGTGGAGCAGTACTGATTGCCAGCAGGAAAGGGGACTTGGAGGAAGTTTTAGATTATAAATTTTCTTTTTCCTTTCATGTTTCAAAGCTCCCATGTGACCTAAAGAGATGTCTCGAATGGGCTAGGAGTAGGTGCTTTGTCCCTAAGTTTCGCTGGGCCATGTACTGAAATTTAATAATTTATGATTTAATTTAGTTGGTAAGGATGAGGAGAAACTGGAACTTTCAAACTTTGCTAGGAGGAATGTCAAATGGCTTGGCCTTTTTGGAAAACAATTTGGTGGTCACTTAAAAAGTTATGCATAAATTTACGGTACAACCCAAGAGTGGAATGAAAACATGTCTTCATACAAATGCTTAAACATGACTATTCATAGCAGCAGCATTATTCATAAGATCTAAAAGATGAAAACTGCCCATATGCCTATTAATTGATAAATAGAGAAACAAAATGTGGTATATTCATACAGTGGAGTACTAGTCAGCAATGAAGGTAATGAACTGATACATGCTTGATGAACATTGGTGAACCTCAGAAGCACTGCAATAAGTTAAAGAAGCCAGGCACAAATATTATATATATTGTTTGATTTCATTTATGTGAAATGTCTAGAAAAGACAAACTTATAGAGAAAGAAAAGTAGATTAGTGATTGCCTGGGATTGGAGCTAGGAACATGGATTGACTACAAATAGGCATAAGGAATCTTTGTGTGGTATTGGAAATTATCTAAAACTAAATTATGATGGTTACACAATTCTTTAAATTTACTAAAAATCATTGAATTGTACATCTATAAGGATGTTTTTAAAAGGGCATGGGGTCTGGCCAGTGTTGCTCAGTGGTTTAGCACCGACCCGTGAACCAAGAGGTCACACGTTTGATTCCCAGTTAAGGCACATGTCTAGGTTGTGGGCTCAATCCCTAGTGAGGGCATGCAGGAGGCAGCTGATATGTTTCTCTCTCATCAATGTTTCTATCTTTTTTCCTCTCTTTCTAAAATCAATAAAAAACGCATTTAAAAAAAAAAAGGGCATGGCAAAAAAACAAACAAAACAAAACAGAAAACAAAAAACAGAAAAAGAAGCAGGTGACATAATTGATTTAAAAATAAGTTTATATGTGTTGTTTCATGAAAGTTAAGTGCATGTGTGTGGTTTTATGAAAGTTTTATTTTTGTATAATTTTATTCTGACAAGGGAGGAATAATCTCAGCTTGAAAAGGATTGGTTTCTGTATAAAGTATTTCTCTAGTGTAAAACAGATAGTACTTCTAAAACAAAAACAAATGACAAAATTTAGTATCTTGCTTCTTGGAAAGTTCAGCTTACTGTCGTCTGTATATTATAAGACTATCAAACAATGAGAAAGAGAAGGAGGGAGAGGTGACTGATAGAATGAGAAGGAGGTTATCCTTCAGATTTCTTAGTACCTATCAGTTAGATATGGTTAGTCTGAAATACCCTTTGCCTGAAAGAAGTAGAAATCAGGAGAGCTGTTGACTTGGTAAAAAAAATGTAGTTAGATTTCTAAAATATGGTCAATTTCTTTCTATTATCACCTTACTAATATTATAGTTGAAGTTCTTTTTAGAAGTTCTTTTCTAGATAGTATATGGTTACTGTGGGGCAATTCAAATACATATTGTTACTGTTCTTTCACGTAGTGTGTGAAAATTAATGAGTTGATAAACTCTCTAGTTTGCAGGGCAGAGACTTGTTCTCAAATATTTGTATATTGCCCTTAGATGGAGTATGTAGTCCTTGTTATTCAATCCACTATTCTCTCTTTTTTTTTTCCCCTGATGTCTTGAGTGCCCAGTCATCTTCTGACTGCAACAGTGATGCGTTGCTACATATTTAACAGCCCCTTTCTAGGAAAAGTAACACTTTGTGTTTTGCTGACTTAAGTTATGTAAATATTCCCACTGTGTCAATTTCTTTCTTTTTTAAAATTTTTATTTATTTCAGAGAGGAAAGAAAAGGGAGAGAGAGATAGAAACATCTATGATGAGAGAGAATCATTGATTGGCTGCCTTCTGCATACCCCCTACTGGAATTAAGACTGCAACTTGGGCATGTACCCTGACTGGAATTGAACCCAAGACCCTTCAGTCCACAGGCTGATGCTCTACTCACTGAACAAAAATGTCTAGGGGTGTGGTCAGTTTCAAGCTACCAGCATGACCATGGAGTTGGTAAGAGATACACACATTGACTGTGATGAGATTGTTTGAATTGGCGTCAGCACCTGTACCAGTGGTCCTGAACCTATTTCCAGTTTTGACTGCCAAGTATGATAGAGGATACGGAAAATAATGAATTTGCCAAAAATCATTCATTTCCCTCATCAAAATTGACATGGTATAGTGCCTTCTTTTTAAAAGTAAATCACTAAGGTAAACATAGTTTGTATTTTTGAAGCCAAACAGTAAGCAAAATTGAGTCTTATAAGGAAGTCAGACAGCATAGGGAATATGGTCAGTAATCCTATCTAATAAAGGGATAATATGCAAATTAACCATCATTCCGTCACAAATATGGAAGTGCCCATAGCCACAAGATGGCAGTGCCCAGTCCCCTCAGCCCCGCCAGAGTTTCTCAGTCTTGGGGGTCTGGCCGCTGAGAGCAGGCAGCATGAGTGGTCTGGTGGAATGCTTGCTTCATCGCTGTGGTGACAAGGCAAGTGTTCCACCTCAACCTCGGAGGGCTTCTGGGCAGCAGGTGCAGAGCGGCCAGGCCCTGCAGAGAGCAGAGAACTATGTGGAATGGGCCTAAACTATCAGGGCTTCCGGAATAGAGAGGGCTCCCCTGAGGGCTCCCAGATTGGAGAGGGTGCAGATCGGGCTGAGTGACCACCCCCTGTGCACGAATTTTGTGCGCCAGGCCTCTAGTGTTATAATAATTATCTATGGTGCCAGGTAGGTATTATACTTTTTGGAGGGCAGGGTGTCACTTTGTAAAGTATATAATTGTCTAACATGATGGCATACACATGAAACAAATACAATATTGAATATTAACTGTAATTGGAAAAAAAGAAGTCGGATACTAGAAAGTCAGATTACAGAGAGCACGGTTGTTTTGAGGTCTAATTTTTATTGTGTCCCATGGAATAAAATTAAAGTATCCCTAACCATGTTTCATCCTCTGTTAGGTAATGATACTGAAAAGCTTCATAAATTGAAATGTATCAAACATATTGATTGCTTTATAATTTATGTGTGTTTCCTTTTAACAGCAGTTTAATGGATTATCTCTTCCTATTCTTCAACATCCAGACCTTCAGGATGTCTTACTTATTCCTGTTATTGGACCTAGGTTTGTAATTATTTCATTTTCAAATTCTATTATTCTAAGTAAAAATCACCACAGGTTTTTTATTTACTGTTTGGTGATAATACTGAGTTCTCCATTAATAGTAACTTTATATAGGTAGGAATTCACAAATTTGTAAGTGCTGACTTCTATACTCTATTTTAGAAAAAATTACATACCAAAGGTTTGTAATATTTTAATGTGAAAAATTACAAGATTTTCATCTAAAGAGTGAAAATCTTGGGAATCGAGCCCACAATCAAGGCATGTGCCCTGAGAGGGAACCAAACCGTGACTTTCTGGTTCATATGTTGAAGCTAAACCACTGAGTCACTCTGACCGGACTCTGTTCTCTATTCTGGCTCTCTGTACATTGGATTTCCCGTGCAGACACTCTTTGTGTTGGGCATCCCAAGACAACCTTAGGGTTTGGTGATTGGTTATAAGTCACAGGATTCAGCATGTAGTCATGCTCATGGGGAAGATTTATTACACAAAAGGATACAAAAACAAAATCGGCAAAAGGAAAAAGGTGTATGGGGCAAAGTCTAGAGGAAGCCAGCCACAAGCTTCTGAGAGTCCTCTCCCCATGGAGTTATCAGGATGTCCTTAATTTCTCCAGAACCCTGTGACATGTGTAGCATGATGGTCTAGTAGGGAAGCACATTAAAGACTCAGTGCCCAAAGTTTTTATTGGTTGTTGGTCATGTAGGCACCCTCTGCCTAGCTTGTACCAAAATTTTAGAATCTCAAAAAGCAGGTTGTTCACAATAAACTTCCTTTCTTGTATAAACAACTTGGGAACAAAATACCACTCTTACTATTAGGGAAAATTTTATATCAGCATCAGGAACTTTATCCCAGTAAAGTTTCCAGATGCCATAAAAGGGCCAACCTTGTAAGGAGGCCTTTCTAAGAATAATCTCATGCCTGTAAACTCTTATTTCAGAGAAGGGACTGTTGTTTATTTCCTCAGCTCTGCAAGTTTACTTTTCTTTTTTTCTTTTTAAAACATAATTTTTTAATTTATTTCAGAGAGGAAAGGAGAGGGAGAGAGGTAGAAACATCATTGATGGGAGAGAATCATCAGTCAGCTGCCTCCTGCAGACCCCATGCTGGGGATCAAGCCGGCATCTGGGGTATGTGCCTGACCTGGAATTGAACCATGGCTTCCTAGTTCAGGGTTGGATGCTCAACCACTGAGCCACTTCAGCCAGGCCCTCTTTCTGTTTTTATCTTGTTCTTATATCCCTTTTTTGAGGTTTTTTTTTTTTTTTTTTTTTTTTTTTCTTTCAGCATCTTTGAAAATATAGAGAAGTATTGGAAAAATTTCCCTGTTTTGGTTGTACTTTTAAAAATATGCCTTTACTTTATTTTTAAAAAATATATATTTTATTGATTTTATACAGAGAGGAAGAGAGAGAGAAAGAGAGAGAGAGAGAGAGAGAGAGAGAGAGAGAGAGAGAGAGAGAGAGAGAATTAGAAACATCGATGAGAGAGAATCATCGATCAGCTGCCTCTTGCACACTCCCGACTGGGGATGTGCCCGCAACCCAGTACATGCCCTTGACCAGAATCGAACTCGGGACCTTTCAGTCCCAAAGCCGACGCTCTATCCACTGAGCCAAACCGGTTTCGGTGCCTTTTACTTTTTTATTGTTGCTTTTTTTTTGTTGTACTAGCTGTGCATGGACCCCATGTTGACTGAATACTTTTTGCTTCTCTCATTGAATGGAAACATTTACATTCATGTAGACATACCTAATTTGCAGTTTGCCTGAGGGTGATAAAGAATGAGATGAAGTTTGTGCCTGGACAAATAATCAGATCTGTTTTTAAGAAATATTTTCACCAAGTCCTCACTAGTGACATATCTCTAACCGTGATAAGCTGAGCTGATGAAGTCTGAGGCTTTCTGGGAAGGCTTTCTGCTTTTCGTTTTTTTTTTTTTTTTTTTGTTTTGTTTGTTTTTGGTTTAAATTTTCTTTGTGCTTATTAGTAAACTTGGGTGTTGATTGCTATTTTCCTTCTCATCCTTCACCCACAGTTAGGCAGTTTATCCACGTTTGTTAGAGAAAACATTGTCTGCTTCTGCCTATTCTGACAGTTCAGTTCCTCTCAGCTTTATCTGCTGTGAGTAATGCCTAAAACGGCATTCTCAGTCTCATTTTTTCTACATGAGCCACTAGTCCTGGTTTTTAGTAATAAATATGTGATTAGGCCCCAGGAGCTTTTTCTTGTCAGAACGTTCATATCCAGTTGAGGAACTAGATTTTATTCAGATTTCACTGTGTTAAGAATAAAATTAAGAAATCCCATCATTGGGATTTCTTAATTTTACTGCAAATGGAATTTTGTTCTCAGATTTTTTTTGTCTCCCCCCCATCTGACCTGCATAGTTTCTTTGAGAAATCAGCTGACAAACATATGGATGCTCCCTTGTAGGTAATTAACTGTTTTTCTCTTGCTGCTTTTAATATTCTTTGTCTTTTGCTTTTGGAATTTTAATTATGATTTGTCTTGGTGTGGTCCTCTTTGGATTCCTTTTGTTTGGAGTTCTGTGTGCTTCCTGGTTTTTAAGTTTCTTTCTTTCACCAGGTGGGGGAAGTTTTCAGTCATTATTTCTTCAAATAGATTTTTAATATCTTGCTCTCTCTTTCTGGCACCCTCATAATTCGGATGTTGGTACGCTTGAAGTTGTCCCAGAGGCTTCTTACACTATCTTCAACTTTTTGGATTCTTTTATCTTTTTGCTTTTCTGGTTGAGTGTTTTTTACTTCTTTGTATTTCGAATCTTTGACTTGATTCTTGCATTCCTCTAGTCTGCTGTTGGGTCTCTGCATAAAATTTTTTATTTTAGTAGGTGTATGTTTAATTTCTAGTTTGTTCTTTTTCATATCCTTGACAGTCTCATTAAATTTATCAGCCTTTTCTAGGAAATTCCTGGAAAACCTTATAACCGTGGTTTTGAACTCTAAATCCAGTCATTTGTTTTCCTCCATTTCTTTTGTTTGTGATTTGTTTCCTTGTCTCCTCATTTTGCGCTGCTTCTCTGAGTTGGTAGGGTGGCTTTGTGTGCTTTATGGTCCAATGGGTCGGCCTCCTAGTTACCTGAGGTGGACACTCTTGATGCACTCTTTGTGGACTGTGTGCGCAGTCTTGTTATAGTTAAGTCTTGATTATTGTTGATGTTACTGGGAGGAATTGACTTCCATGCTAATTGGCTGTGAGGACCTGCTGTGTCTATAATGGAAGAATTGCTGTGCTGGAGACATTCTTATGGGGCAGGACTTGTTTCATTGGGGCTTTGGTGATCACTTAGTCTGCCTCTTGAATGTGACTCTTATGAGAGTAGTTGAAGTCTGGTGTTGTCTCACATAGACCAGTAGATACACTATCTTCTGGATCTCCAATGGGGTGCAGTCAGCTACTCTCTGAGGTCATCCTCAGTAGGAGCTATAGTGAGAACAATAGTTTTCTCCTTGCTTGGGGTTTGGAGCTTTTGGAGCTGTCTGACCAGAGCTGCAGTTAGTTTGATTAAGCTTTGACAGGACAGGCAATTTATATGCAAAAACTGCTGCTTGGAGTTTTTGCTTATATGGGTGGGTTTTTAGATCTTGTGGGGCGGGGTCTCAGGGTGTCACTAGGCTTGGGTGTGGCAAAAAGTGATGGCTGACTTAAACTGAGTTCCCACATTTCCAAGTTCCTGTGTTCCATGCCCCAGTGCAGTAAACAATGTTTGCTGGGCGCACCTCTGCAAGAAAGTCATCCTCAGTTTCCAATCCGCTGGCCAACATTCCAGCCTCTGCCTATCGGAGTTTGGGTACCCCAAATCTACCCAGAAACTGGATTTCAGAGTAATCGGGAGCTTGTCTCCCTTTGGGTTGAAAAAAAGCAGCACATCCAGTCGCCTGCCACCAGCCTGGTGCGCGTGCCTCCATACCTCAGCGTTTTTAGCACTTGTTCACATCTCAGTGCTCTTTTCTCTTTCCTTTTAGTTGTAGGACTTCCACTCAGCCAGCTTTCCTGTGGTTCTGGGTGATAGACATTTTGTCTTTTACTTGTAGTTTTAAAATGTGAGAGGCAGCAGTTTAGGTGTTTACCTATGCCGCCATCTTGGTTTCTCCAAGGTAAAAGGTTTAGGAAGAAGGGATTTAAGTTGATGCTGAAGTTTCTATTAATAGTTTATTTTCAAGTTGATAATGACACTTTGTTCAAGATTGGAAACATGGGAGGATAAAAAGTTTCGGAGTGTTGCCAAGGATTTGAAGAGGAATTAGACAAAAATAACATTGTTTAGGACGTACTGAGTTTAAGTAACTGTGGAATACCTAGATATAACTACTTGCATGTAATTAGAAATATCACTTCAGGGTTAGAAAGGTTAAGCATTAGAATACATGGATTATTTTTATAAGTGATTATTAAAATCATGGGATTGCTAAGGGATAGAATGCAAAGTGAAAACATGACTGCATGTTTTGAGCTTGTGTCATGAACCTCATTAAGATATAAAGACCTAACAATGAGAATGTGTGGTACCAGCAAGGGGTAATATAGAACTGAGAAGTTCAGTGATATTTGATCATCTAGAGATGATGGAAAGAAGATGGGACACACTTAATTCACCCAGCAAGGAGTTTTGACAACACATCTGAAGTGTTGCCAACCAGGGACACTCATTAGAGACTCAGTGTTTGCTTATCTTGATACCTCCTGAACTTTTAAAAAAATCTTTCTGAGTTTTAGAAGTGATGCTTAGATTTTAGTGTTCTGAAGAATAATTGGAGGTGAGAAATTAGAAAATATTTTTTAAAAATGGGCAATAAAGAAAGATTAGGTTTGCTGTAATGTTAAAGATTTAATTTTAAATCTTGTTTAAAATACTAATAATCTATTTTGAAACATTCTATCACTTTAGACATGTTTTAGAATCCCTTGTATATTGTCTGTTTTAGTCTTTGAAGATGGACTTCCTCTTCTAATCTTGTTATGAATACTGCAATGCTTGTTAAATAGTAATTAAGCAATTTTTGGTGGCACTTTATTACCTTCTATCAGATGGATCTCTTTCTATTTTTTCATTTCTCAAATGCCTATCTTTTTTTTTTTTCTTTAAACAACTCTTTTCTCAATATTTATTCTATTTTCAGATTTCTCTTTCTCATTTACTCATTAATGGCATTATCTTGGGACAATCAGTACTAAAGAGATTACTTAGGATTTAGGTTGAAACATTAAAAAGGTTGATACTTGTTGGAGATATATCACTGTGTTAAATTTCTCTTGTTTTATGCCCCTAGGAAGGACATAGTAAAACAACAATGTGAAGCCATTGTTGGAGCCCAATGTGGTAATGCTGTATTAAGAGGAGCCCATGTCTATGTTCCAGGAATTGTGTCAGCTTCAAAATGTATGTTTGAGGGTTTGTAAAAAAAAAAAAAAAAAAAAAAAAAAAAAAAAAAAAAATACAAAGGAGCATATGTCAAGAGACTTTATGTGGCTCACAAAGTCTGAAATTGATTTCTTACCTATGTAATTTGAACAGTCCTAGCTATAGCTGATGGGGTCCTCTCTACTGTTGTCAAGTTAATGGACTAGACAAATTTACAATAGGTTAGGTTCTTAAAACATTTTTTTGGAAGCAGAATACAATTGTTAATGTTACTTTTTTTTTTTTTTTTTAACTGAAAATAATTTAATAAAATGACTACAAAGCTAGATTTAATCAGCCATATAAATTATGAGTTCTAGACTCTCGAGCTTCAAAGAGTACATATACATATATAAATGAATATATGTGATTATTGTTAAAATCTGCTTTAATTGCTATAACGGGAAAACTTGGAAGAAATATATCAGGGTTATGGGATTTAGAAAGACTCCTTTGAGGAATTTGAGTGTATACTTTTAAGAATACTTTTGAAGGAAACTTAGAAATTTGAGGATGGAGTCAAAATACAAGATTTACGTGAAGTCTTTTAGGGAATATTAGGCTTGGGGAAAATAATTTAGATTAGAAGATTGCTTTACCCCCAGGCCTGGCTGGTGTGGCTCTATGGTTGAGCTTCGACCATGAACCAGGAGGTCACAGTTCCATTCCTGGTTAGGGCACATGTCCAAGTTGTGGGCTTGATCTCCAGGAGGAGGCATGCAAGAGTCAGCCAATCGATGATTCTTTCTCATTATTGATTTTTGTATCTCTCTCCCTCTCCCTTCCTCTGTCTCTTAAATAAAAACATATTTAAAAAAATAAGAGGAAGATAACTTTCCTTTTCTGCTTAAAGACTTCCAGTTGAGTTAGGATATTTTGAAGACTATTTCATTTCTTTGTTTTCCTAGAAAAAAAATATTCAATTTAGATTTATTGTTATGGACATTTAAAAACAAAATGCCATTATTTTTTATTATAGATTATATTGAGTTGATGAGCCATTTTAGAGTGCTAACATGCCACTGTTGGTGTCCTTAGAGTTTTTCAGTCTAGCGTAAAGAATATTAACTTTTTCTGTTCAAGTATAAAATCATTATAATATGATTTTCTTTTTTCTCTAGTTATGAAAGCTGGAGATGTTGTTTCTGTATACTCTGATATTAAAGGCAAATGTAAGAAAGGAGCCAAGGAATTTGACGGAGTAAAAGTATTTCTTGGAAATGGGATTTCTGAATTAAGCCGCAGAGGAATCTTCAATGGGCTACCTCAACAGAAGTATATTATTAAGTGTTGTTTTTGGGAAAATAAGCATTTTTGTTGTTCAAGGGAAATTATAAACAATATAAAAATAGTAGCATTTTGTGAAAAATTTGGGGGGTTATAAATATAACCAGAAATTACTTGCTCCATATTTCCATGTTTTTTAGGGGGAAAAAATGATCTAAGGTAACAGGAAATGCTCAGATTAAAGAGTTTTAAGTAAGCAACTAGCCATGCTGTACTTCAAATAATTTTACTTTTTCTTTTGAATTTAGTTGATTTGAAATATTTTCATCTTTGGAGAACAATACTTTTCTTGATAAAAGATGAATTATATTAACCTCCCCAGATCTTTTTAAACATTCTGATTTTGTGAAAGGAAAAACCCTATCAGTTTAATATAACTTAAAAAGAAAAAAAATATTGTTTTTAAGTCCTCAACCCTAGGACATGCTAAGAAAGAAGAAAAGAGAAAGAGAGAGAAACATTGACATGAAAGAGAAACATCAAACTAAGAAACTGGGTTGTCCACAAATTTAATTTATTTAGAGCCAGTACAACCAGAGATGATTTAAAACTAGTTATATTTAATTTGGTTTGAGTTAATCCAAACATTAATTTTTGGTCATAAGTATTAATGTAAGTGCTCACTTTCTGGTAAAAATTTTTTGACTAAATTTTTCTTTTTGTCCATCTGGAGTGGCTCAGTTGGTTGAGCATTGTCCTGTGCACCAAAAAGTTGCCAGTTGATTCCCAGTCAGGGCACATATGGGAGGCAATGTAACTTACACAGGCTAATATTAGATTTCCTACTTTTCAGAGGTATAGGCATCAGAATGACAGAACCAGTGTATCTCAGCCCTTCATTTGACAATGTACTGCCCAGCTACTTATTTTTACAGGTAAGTAATTGTGAAAGTGTAATATTTAGTGACATTGAAACATACTACAGCAAATTATTAGAAATCTAAGGTTTTTTTTTTTAACTTTATTAATATATTTTTGTGGTCTGTTTATATATTTTCTTATCTACCTTTGGTTAGCAGTAAGAAAAAACTTCTTAAGCATTATTTTTTCTTTTTACCTTTTTGCTCAAGAATGCTTTAATATAAAGCTTATCATAACTTATTTTCCGTTTCAACATGTTAATCTGAAAATAATAAATGCATTTACTATATATAAATGTTCATTTGTAACTGAGTAAGATTCAAATGGTTTACTGCTAACAGGTTTTTGTCGGTGGTTATTAAATATGGTGCTGTAACAAGTATAGACAAATCTCAGGTCTCAAATGTCTCCCATTGCGAATAATTCAGTTCTCAACCAAGTTGTTCATGGAAAATATGTCTCAGTTGTTGAACAACCCTTCCTGCCCATACATCAGCATGACAGGAAGTGTCTCTCAGGCTACAAAATGAAGAAGAATGCCAGTCAGATTACCCCTAAACCTCACATGTTAACATCTCAGGAAATTGTGCTGTGAAATGTTTTTTTCTTTTGTTGTCTATAAAATGGATGATTAGCACAATTTTAAAACATAAAGAGGCCATCAAAACTGCTAGTGTTGCTAAGGGTGTGAAAAAAACAATGATCACACGCAATTGAAGAGGTGGAAAAATGGTTGTTGATATGGATAAATGAAAAGCAATCAGACAGAATTTTGGAAAATTGATGATGCTGCATACTGACCTTCTGAAAGACACCCCTGGAACATGTGCTGAAAGTGATTTCTTTAAGGCTGTTAGGGGGTGGTTCCATAGATTTAAGAAAAGAAGTGTTTGCTTATAGATTAAACAGTACATTAGACATTTTCTGTATATAAGAAAGGTTAAAACAGGGAATCATTTTGGGGGTCTGGAATGAATGAATTCAATTTACATTATTTCTAATGGAAAAAGTGATTTGGTTTTCAAACAAATAGCTTTTTGAGCCAATTAAGTTTGAGAACCAAGGTTCCACTGTAACCTATTTTGCCTTGTTCAGTTTATTAAGTGTTTACATTAACTGATTTGTTGCAATCTGGTTAGGTGGTATTATTATAATAATTATTATTATTATTACTATTGTTATTATTATTCCCAATATAAGAGGATATCAAAGATCAGATCTGTTAGGGTTCTTGAAAGGTGTTACACAGGTTAATGGAGCCTGCAGGTTTGATGCCTGCTTTGCTTGTCAGCTGGTGGGAGAGAGGCTCAACAATGGAACTATGGCACCTGCCAGCACTTCATCTTGCCAGCTCTGTCAGACAGGGCTCAAAAAAGGAACAGTGGTGCCTGTCCTCCAGCCCTCGCCATGCAGCCAGGCAATTCCGTTTCTCCCCATATATCCTGCTGGCCCTGCACTGGAACTCAGCACTGAGTTTGAGAGTGAGTTAGTCCTATAATCTCTTCATTGGCTGGGTCTCCAGCAGCCCTCCATCCCACTCAGCTCCAGTCCTCACTGCTTTTCACATCTGGAAGTTATAGGAACTTGGCTTCCTGGCACAGGAGCCCACATATCCCTCCTGATTTTTATCCACTACACATGAGTGTGGGGTCAGCCCATTTTTGTCCCCACCCCTCCTTCCAGCCTCCTCTTTATATCCTTAGTTATGGAGATTCTCAGGCAATTTTCAATGATGGTTGTTTTGTAATTTAGTTGTAATTTTTATTATATTATGGGAAGAGGTGAACACAGCACAGCATTTATCTACACTATCTTGACCTAGAGTCTCTAGAAGTTTTAAATTAGATGTAGTCTCACTTATTTTTTATTTCATTGCTTTTTTATTTCATTTTTTTATTTCATTGTGTATCAGATTAAAAAAAAAATCATTGCCAAGCCCTATACAGGGAGCTTACTGCCCTTGTTTTCTTCTAGCAGTTTTATGGTTTAATTTCTTGCACCAAGTCTTTAATCCATTTTGAGTTGCTTTTTTTTATAGTGTAAGATAATGGTCTTATTTAATAGCCAGAGTTTTGAAAATGATAACAGGTATGTAGTTAGTTTTTGCATTGACACTGTTTGCAATTGTTTTAATTTAGAGCTTTCTTCTTTTATATATATATATATTTATTGATTTTTTTACAGAGAGGAAGGTAGAGGGATAGAGAGTTAGAAACATCGATGAGAGAGAGACATTGATCAGCTGTCTTCTGCACACCCCCTACTGGGGATGTGCCCACAACCAAGGTACATGCCCTTGACCAGAATTGAACCTGGGACCTTTCAGTCCGCAGGCCGATGCTCTATCTACTGAGCCAAACCGGTTTCATTTAAATTTTACTTTTATTATAGTAGCTTAAAAAACACAAAAAGGTGAGATGAAGAAGGCCGCCTGAGAAGGCACATGGGCATTTCTTTTCATTGTTGCCAGCTGAGACAGAGACGATTGGCAGAGCCGCGTCTAAGATACACATTTCCCCAAGATGTCGGAAAGTGTAATCAGCTTGGCCTTCCTATCAGCCCAGGTTTGGCAGGGGTGGAACTAGATTTGTAAATCCAGGCGTGCTAGGGCCTACTTAAGAATGCAAATAAGTTGATGTTACTTCCTGGTATTGGGGGTATAGAATAAATGCGCAGGGAGGGTCCCTTGTCTTCTTCCTGCCTCTCCAGTAGACAGGATGGCAGCCCATTCTAGCTCCCAGCTGAAAATCTAAAAAAAGATAGTGGTCTAGTTTCATTCTTCTCTATGTAGCTGTTCAGTTGTCTCAAAACCATTAATTGAAGACTGTCCTTTCACTATTGTGTTTGTGTATTCTTATCTCTTTTGTCATAAATTAATTGAACATATTTGTGTAAGTGATTTTCTGGGCTCTCTCTCCTGTTTCATTAATCTATGTTTGTTTTTAACCACTGAAACTTTGTAGTAGAGTTTGAAATCTGAGTGCATGATGCTTCCAACTTTGTTCTTCTTTCTAAAGACTGCTCTGACTATTCGGGATCTTGTTATCTCATATGAATTTTATGCTCTGTTTCTGAATATATTTTAAAAAAATCACTCAGTAATACTCTTGTGTAGCCAGGATTGAGAAGAAAGGTAGTAGACTGAGTTGTTTTAAGAAACTGTCATCATTTAACTCTAATACGTAGTGAAGCATCTTTACTTGAACTATTTCATAATGTTTAATTAATTTCTGTCATCTTTGATCCACATATTAATCTTATCTTTATTAGGAGTTAAGCATAACCATTTGTCTCTAGCTAAAGAATCTCCATTAACCACTTATGTGTCTTTTCATATTAGAGTTCAATTTTTAAATATTTTTGGAATAGACTTGACTCTAAGAGAAACTATCTGTAACAGGTGAAACTGTTTTTTGGTGTTTAGTGTGGAGAGACTGCTTTTCAGGCATCTCAGTTTATATTGATTTTAATGCTTCCTGTATCCACGTGGAGGGGTTCTGTGTGGAAAAATTTTTTTTTTTTTTTTTTTTTTGAACTGGTGATCTTGGATTCACTGAGAATCCTATAACCTTCTCACAATTCTTGAGGACATACTATTGGATTTAATGTTTTGGTGTGAGAATAAATTGAAAACTCTAAACAGCACTATGCTTGTTAGTCTCTATTTTTTTTTTTGCCAAATATTTTTAAAAATTTAATTACTTTGTGATATTATTCTATCTGATTTAAAGCTGTCATCCTTTAGTAACAATTCACATATAATTAATACTAATAATGATTTAATATGACTTATTACTATAGGTAGAGGTATATTTGGGTTGTATTATCTCAGAATATTTCTTACATTTTACTTTTCTCCTACTGAAAGGTAGCAGTGGTGGGAAGATAGGAACCCAAACATGTCTTTCAGTGGCATTAGCTGTATAAAACTGTGATTTTAAAATGGGATTTAGATGATGAAGCATCTGAAGTTGCAAGTTATAAATTTTCTGGGGAAAAGATCCAGAGCTTTCTCATATTTTTAAGGGATCTCTTTGTCTTTGGCCTCCAAAATTTGAGAACCACTGAATTAAGAAAGGACAATATGCTTTTTTGCTGAATTGATTAGAGAAATGCATTATGTGTGTGCATGTGTGTGTCTGTGTGCGAATATATTATGAAATCATAAACACCTGAACAGCTGTAGGCTATTCCCCAGTCTGAATATTGTACCTATCCTTTGTATCCTTCCCTTTGCTTCTGTACCCTACCCTTTGAAGTGTATTATCTCAACCTGGCCTTGGACAATTTGTGTTAATAAAAAGCATGGGGTCCTGAGTCAAGGAAGTCTTAAGCTCCTTTGACCCCCAATGCCTCTCAAAATTATCTTTTGTCTTTGGACTCCTACTCACGCTATGTACAGCCTTTTGCCACATTGTTGAACCTTGCTAATGCTGGGACAAGAACTCTGGCATAATGACGTCACATAGCAACACCCAGCTTCCTCTCCCTAGCAGCTAGCTTTCTAAGAGTTTCTTCAAGCTAGGAACTTCCTTTATAGCCAGGTGCAAACATTTTACACTTTAACCAAATGTTTGTGAAGCATTTTCCCATGCCTTATCTCATTTGATCCTCACATAAGTCCTAGAGTAAGTAGATAGGAGACTTGGTAGATTCCTATTTTCATTAGCAAGATGTGAATAGTGATATTAAAATAGTTCTTCTAATTAATTTTATTTCAGTGCATGAATCCATGCACTGGGACACTAGTAGTTATAAAAAATGTACTCTTGGTAGAGGATGTTGTACTGCATTACCTCCAAAGATTTCTTTACATTCTCTGCATAGACTACAATACCAGGAATTTAAATTGATTCTGAAATTTAAATTGATTTAGTATACTGATAATTGATTTTTTTTTTTTTTTCTTTATAGAATTTACCATCTACTGTTGTAACTCATGTTCTGGATCCTCAACCTGGAGAGAAGATTCTAGATTTGTGTGCAGCACCTGGAGGCAAAACAACACACATTGCAGCATTAATGCATGATCAGGTAAGATTGTCTTCACAGCAAAACTACTGTCAGTATATTTATATTTCAGTGATAAAGGTGGAATTACATGTAACTTATGAAACATTATGAAGACATTCGTAATCTGACTTATTTCAAATTCAGCCAAAGGGAAGACTGTTCAGTACACCTGATCCAGAGCTGGGTTAGCTAGAGGATCTGATGATCTTGTGTAGGCTCATTTACTTTTTCATTTGTGTTGGCTTATGTAAAGTGGCCCCAGTTGAGGCCATTAGGGTGCCCTGCCTCTGGTCCATGTGTTTTTTATCCTCTTGCTAGGAACAGATGGCTAGCCTAGCTGAGGGCAATCATTAAGGGGTTGGCTGTGGCTGAAGGCAAAGTAGAACAAGGCCAACTGTTCAAGTGTTATTTATTTCTCTGTTTGCATTACGTTTACTATTATCCTATTGGCCAACACTTATCACATCGCTGAGTTCAAGTCAGAATGGCAGGATATTACAAGGTAAAAGGCAAAGATGAGCATGTGTGGGGAATTAAACTGAAGTTAGGCAATCTTTCTAAGTGGAACAGCAATAGAAAAATGACCAACCTGAATAGAGATACTTGAGCCAGAATGAATCTTAGATTTTGTTGCTGCTTTTGATTCATTTTGATAGTTAAAATTTGTGTAAGTTTACCCTTTTTTCCTGTATTTTTGTAAAAGTAGCCTTCAGCCAATGGAGTTATTACTTCATTGCAGTATATTTGAACCTTATTTTATGTTGTTTTTGACTACTTTTTCAGTTCAACTCACTTGAAATGGTTTTGTTTGTCAAAATATTAATTGGAATTATATCTACCATTAACCCTGATGTTACATTTAGGATAAGGTGACCAGATGTCCTGCTTTTGGCGGGACATTCCCGATTTTTAACAATTTGTCCCACGTCCTGCGGCATTTTAAAAAAGTCCGGATTTTTGCAAAGATACTTTTAAATTTTTTGGACTTTTCTTAAAACGTTGAGGGATGCAGGACAAATTGTTAAAAATTGGGACGTCTGGTCACCTTAATTTAGGAATATTTTCAGCAAATTCTTGGTATTGTAGTCTATGCAAATGATGCATATATCATGCAAGGACAGTGTGTATAAAGGGAACAAAAGCAAGAAAATATTTAAAAGGTTAATTTCACCATCACTGCAATATCATTTCATAGTATCATGTTTTAAAGTATCATATGAATATCACAATACACTCATGTCTTTATCAATTTTGAACTGAAATATTATGGTTAAAAATATTTTTTAAATTTTATATGTTTTTATTGATTCCAGAGAGGAAAGGAGAGTGAGTGAGAGAGAGAGAGAGAGAGAGAGAGAGAAACATTAATGATGAGAGAGAATCATTGATTGGCTGCCTCCTGCAAACTCATTTTATATGTTTTTATTGATTCCAGAGAGGAAAGGAGAGTGAGTGAGTGAGAGAGAGAGAAACATTAATGATGAGAGAGAATCATTGATTGGCTGCCTCCTGCAAACTCTCTTCTAGGGATCGAGCCTGCAATCCAAGCATATGAACTTGGGACCATTCAGTCCACATGCCGATGCTCTATCCACTGAGCGATAACAGATAGAGCTACAATTACTTTTGAGCTATGTTTTATACAAGTCTAGAATGTTTTGCTGTGATATACAGTAATTTTTCTGTCTTTAGTTGTAAGAATTTACATGAATTTTATGTGTATAGCATAGAAAATATTGAGACAAGGATTGATTTTGTAAAAGGAAATACTTAATACATATTTAATATAAATTCAATATATGTTTGGTTAATGAATTAAACTTTAAATTAGGGGTAGGAGGAAATTATGGAAGATCTTAGTTTTTCATAGCTTTCTCATTTTTAATAATTTTTATGATTGCTTTTGGTTTACACTTTATGGGTTTTTGTTTGTTGTTTGTTTTTAGGGAGAAGTAATAGCCTTGGATAAACTACCCAACAAAGTTAAAAAAATAAAGCAGAATGCTTTATTATTAGGGCTGCATTCCATTAGGGCCTTTTGCTTTGATGGAACAAAGGCGCTTAAACTCGATATGGTTAAGGACACCGAAGGTGAGTCAAATTTTATCTTTTAAAGACTTTTACAGACAATCAGACTTTGCTGTCATTGTTCTAGCCTCAAAATATCCACAGGCCTTGAAACTTTGGCATGAATGTAAGATTTCTTGCTTTAATAAATATTTCTTTTTCATCTCATCCGTCAATATCAAGTTTTTAATAAGTCCAACCCCCAAGACTTGGTCAAATTATTTCTTCTTCTTCTTTTTTTTCCATCACCATTTATTATCTCTATACCCTCTTTCACCTCCACCCACACCTCTACCCTCTTGTTCAAACTTTTTATACTTGACATATTTGTCTTAATTTCATAAAGCATCTCACAGAGATCCCAAGCCTTTCAATTTTATGATTCTTGAGCTATTTTGTATTATTTCATTTTTCTTGGGAATGGGGCTATGGAGCTGGGAATGGAGGGAAAACTGTTACATTTATTAAATCACTTTGTCTCTATGTATCTATATCTCTTATTTAGATTTGATTTCATGAAATACTCGAGAAAACTGGGTATTTTAATGAACTCACTGGCATTAGTTTTTCCTAAAGATGAGTTTTAAAAAGCTAAGGATATGGTCTCTGATTTGCCAACCCCCTAACAGATCATATAGATCAGCGATTGCCAACTGGTGTCCGTAGTGGTCCATGAGGTCTGAAAGGTTGTCAACGGCTGATCTGGATTGCCTTTGTTAGCAAACAACTCACATAAATTTGAAGATCTAATTGGCTTCATTAAGCTGATCATTACCTAATGATCAGCTAAAAGCTTGCTCCCTGGGTTGTACCAAGGGGGAGGTTTTTATAGGAAGAAGAGTGGGGCCAGGACACCATTTCTTTCTCTTTCTGGGAGCCAAAGGGGAGGGTTTTTATCTTGTAAATTGCCTTCTCTTTCTATGGGGAACATAGAGGGCTCACAGTGACAGATTACCTTATTGGTGCTTGGCCAGAAAATTCCAGACTGGTTGATTAAAGATGTTTTTAGGAGAAGTTAAACTTGCAGTTAAATCTAGTTTTAGTATCAAGGGCTTTTAGCACTGAGTGTCGTCATTTTGATACTATGGTTTTCTCTTTAATTCCTTAAGGAAAAATACTTTTTCTAACTGTAGTTTTGTTGTAGGCTGCAGAATGGCAACAGGTGTCTGACTGGTGATGTTAGATCTGGTTCAGCAACCTCGGTATTTATATTCTGACTAGAAAAAATTCAGAGCCAAGACTCCAACCATAAGAATACATCTATTTGGTAAATCACAGAGGTAAAAGAAGTAATTCATTAAAGAAATCGGCTTAGGAAACAAGTTTATAGTGTTGTATCATAAATTAGCAAATGAGATACAAGACACCTTAATGAGCCAATTAATTAGGAGTCATTTATTGCTCACAGCCCAGAGGGAGGTGTCTCTTCCAAATCTCTGACCACCACATATAGGAAGTCTCCCTTAGTTATACTTTTTGAGCCTCTTTGCAGATTTTACAAAGAGCTCTATGTGAATTATTGTTACAAACAGCTGTAACCTTGAATACATAATGAGTATGTACCTGGGATAAGAATATGGAAGTTGTTATCAGTATTAGTCTATTTTAGTCTATTACATTGGATGGCTAGTTTACAAGATCAGACAGTTAAGTTTATCTTTTTCTATTATTTGAACTAAAAACAAAGTCATTTTACAGAATAGTAGACTGTCTTAAAGTGACAGTTTATAATGAGAGTTTACAGGACTAGTGACTATCTAACAATAGAGAATTCAAACAGCAGTTTTATACAAGATAGAGGTTACTATGCTTCAGTAGGAATAAAGGAAGGGCCTGGGCTGGCCAGCGTGTGCGAAAAGCTTGGCTTCCTCCATTGCCAGGAAAACCCAAGCCTCCCTTCTGCTCTCTGTGGCTGCAGCCATCTTGGTTGGGTTTATTTGCATATTCACTCCTGATGAAAAAATATATATAAATTTCAGAGATAAAGGGAGAGAGAGAGATAGAAGAATCAGAAAAATCAGTGGTGAGAGAAAATCATTGATTGGCTGCCTCCTGCATGCCCCTTCCTGGGAATCGAGCCCTTAATCCAAGCATGTGCCCTTGACCAGAATTGAATCTGGGGCCCTTCAATCTGTAGGCCAACTCTATTCACTGAGCCAAACTGGATAGAGCCTTAATTGCTTTTTAAAAAAATTAAGTATATATATATATATATATATATATATATATATATATATATTACACTAATGTAACATTTTATTTACCTAAATGGCTTTCAGTTTGTGTTATGAACTCACATAGTTATAATAATAGTTATAATATTCCTTTATATAATTTTATGTCTATAAAATTTCTAAAAGAAACAGAAGAAAGAGATATAATTTTAGATTTTATATTACTTTTCTTACTAGTTTTCTTCACTTGGTCCTGTGGATTTGAATTTCATATGGTGTCATTTTATTCCTCCAATACAGCTTTGTTCCCACTCACCATTTTTGCTGTTATTGGAAAATATATTACATTTGCCATATATAAATATATGGCACACCACACACACACATACAAGCACTATATGGATATATGATACATGTGTATATATATATGTGTGTGTATATATATATATATATCCTTTATTATATATATAGGGCCAACATTGGAATTATATGCATATTTATTCAGTTGATTTTTAAATCAAGAGAATATACATTTATACTGTTTTTTATAATTACACAATTACCTTTATGTCTGTTCTTTGTATTTTCATATGGGCTCAAATTTTACTCTAATTCAATTCCTTTCAGCTTGAAAAATTTTTAAAGTATTTCTTATAATGCAAATTTCTAGCAACAATTCTATTGGTTTTTGTTTATCTGGGTATCTCTATTGCACTTTTATTTTTAGAAGATAATCTCTCTGAACTTTGAGTACATTATTCCACTGCCTTTTGGCTTTCATTTTCTGATGAGAAAACATACTTTAATCTTATTGTGGTTCCCTAGTATATGAGAGTCATTTTTCTCTTGCAGCTTTTTTTATTTTTTAATAGTATGTTATTTACTTCCCAATGTCCAAAATGTTATAATTTCAACATATATCCCTTACAGCTTTAACGATATTTTTTCTTCACGTTTAACTTTCAAAATTTTTAGTATGATGTGTCTGATAGCTGATCTTTGCATTTGTCCTACTTAAAATTTGTGAAGCATCATGATCATTTTTTTCAAATATTTTTCTAGTTTTTGCCTCTCCTTTTTCTGGTGCTCTTATTGTGTTTATATTGGTGCACTTAATGATGTCACACATACCTCTGAAGCTATATTTATTTTTCTTCTATTGTCTGTGATCTTCAGATTGCATGATTTTTTTTCTTCTATCTTCAAATACACTGATTCGTTTTTCTATCTGTTGAACTCTATAATTGAGCCCCTCTAGTGAATTTGTCATTTATTATTATATAGTCATTTCCAGAATTTTCATTTGTTTTGTTTCTTTTTTGAAATTTGTTTTTATTGATGTGTTTTATTTGGTGAAACATTGTTGTTATGTGTTCCTTTGCCTCCTGAAGCATCGTTTTTTGTTTTTTTTTTAATTCTTTGAACATATATTTTATTGGCTGTTTTAAATATATAAATATATATATATATGTTTTATATATGTTTTATTGATTAATTACAGAGAGGAAGGGAGAGAGATAGAGAGCTAGAAACGTCAATGAGAGAAACATCAATCAGCTGCCTCCTGCACACCCCCTACCGGGGATGTGCCTGCAACCGATGTACATGCCCCTGACCGGAATCGAACCTGGGACCCTTCAGTCCGCAGACCGATGCTCTACCACTGAGCCAAACCGGTTTCGGCTTTATTGGCTGTTTTAAAATCTTTGCTAAGTCTGCTCTCTCTGCCTTCTCAAAGATAGTTTTTGTTGTGTTGGGTCACACTTTTATGTTTCTTTGCATAGCTCATAATTTGCTGTTGTTGAAAACTGGGTAATAAGTTGCTCAAATCACTCCTCCCTAAGCTTGTGGTTATTATTTGCTTATATGTTTGCTGTGATGGATGGATGTTTTACTAAATTGTACACTGAGTGGCCAGATTATTATGATCTCTGAATGCATAATAATCTGGCCATTCAGTGTATATCCTATATAATAAAAGGCTAATATGCAAATTGTCCCCTTGACCAGGAGTTCCGCCAGCAGGCAGGCTGGCTAACCACACATGTCTCCTCCCCCTGGCCAGGCTGGCTGAACCTCACACATGCACAAATTCATGCACTGGGCCTCTAATATTAATACACACACACACACACACACACACACACACACACACACTGAGTGGCCAGATTATTATGCCTTCAGAAATCATAATAATCTAGCCACTCAGTGTATATTGCATGTACACGGTAATCCTGGGATGACAATGGATTTATGAGGGTTTTTTTTTTTTCTTCTTTCTTTCTAGAAACCTTAACAGTAGTTATAACAAGGTGGTGGAATAGTGATAGTTGATTTTTTAAAATAATATTTTATTGATTTCTTACAGAGAGGAAGGGAGAGGGATAGAGAGTTAGAAACATCGATGAGAGAGAAACATTGATCAGCTGCCTCCTGCACACCCCCTATTAGGGATGTGCCTGCAACCAATGTACATGCCCTTGATCAGAATCGAACCTGGGACCTTTCAGTCCGTAGGCCAACACTATCCAGTGAGCCAAACCGGTTAGGTCAGTGATAGTTGATTTAAAAAATATATATATTTTTATTGATTTTTGGAGATGAAGGGAGAGAGAGATAGAAACATCAATGATGAGAGAAAATCATTGATCGGCTGCCTCTTACAAGCCTGTCACAAAGGATCAAGCCTGCAACCCAGGCATATGCCCTTGACTGGGACCAAACCTGGGACCTTTCACTCCATAGGCCTACACTCAATCCACTGAGCAAAACCAACATGGGGGTATGAGGGCTTGCCTTACTGTCTCTTTCCCGGTCTTTGTGTTAAACTGTCTGCTTCAGTTATTATTC